AAATGAAAAGAAATTCATCTTTTCACTTTTGGTAATTAAATTTGTAAACTTTAACTGCCCAATGATAAGTAATAAATGGAATATTTAAAGCAGTTTGCAACTTATTTTATTTTCGTTTGCAGGGTTGTCATGAGCTCGCTAGCGACCGCTTAAAGTTGATACATGAATCACATGGAAAATAATTATTGAAGCTTAGAACAATACTTACATCATTTATAAGACTCGTATCTTTCAAAACTTATAAGCGATATATTGTGTAATTGATTCGCACCCACTTTTAAACTATTAAACTTACTGAGTAATTGTTGGATATTACTCACAGAAAAACATGTTTCACAAGACTGTTTTCTCATGAGTGACGATAGCAAGAGAACAAAATGTATGATACTTAATTAAGCAACTTATGAAAGTGCGTAATATATTGTCTCATGTTTCATTTAGCAAATTAAGTTGAAGCGCAAACCCTCTGCGATATACCTACTACACATTACAAGGTCATATCAATCAGCTACAATGCTATGTTATGTAGAGTTTAGACTTAAAAAGAAATTGAGAAAGCCATTAAAACTAATAACTTTAGTTTGAATTGCCTCAATATACCTAAATAAGGGTGACATTTATGGGTTTGTTGATTGGATATCGTAATATAAAATCGTATATTCTTTGGTGTTCATACAGTCAATAATCTTTCTTTGTAATATAGTCAAACTTATATATTTAGTACACTGATTTCACTTTTGATATACAGGTAGGTACTGTTTAAGGTTTTCAATAAATTATTTTTGTAAATATATTAGTCATAAAACTTAAATTTTAGGACTAGTAACACCCGTATGTAGTAACATAAAAAAATACCTGATTATGCAATATATTAATTTTTCTCTATCCTATTACAATTCGTTGAAAGTATATGTCCTTGGCAATAACTAGGTATATATCGTATGTTGAAGTTTTTTTTACGTTGCCTCTAGTTACAAAAATAAAACGATATTATATAATTCATAAAATTTAATTTACACATATTAGAAAACTGAATATCTATCTAAATAATCTGTTATCCGGAACTACTAATATCCTCCACTGTGACATAACTACATTATACAAAGAGGTAAATAGTAAAACGCGAATGATGATCAAAACGTCATTTAATCACGTGTTACAAAATTAACATTAACGTGCATAATAATGGTAACAGAAGTTGAATAACCATCTATTGCTTGCTCTTAACAGCATCCAATAAAAACAAGTATTAAGAACGCCCCGGGCGTTGAATCATAACTGGTAGTCGTACGAAATAGATATTGTTTTATGCAATGTAAATATTAAGTCTCCTTGGCATAAAGTAATCAATCTAGTCGTGAAATTAATCGTTGTTTATTAACTTTGATTACTTTTTGTTTAAATGCCTTAATAAACGATAACATGTTAACGATTCGACAATATAATTTCAGCATTCGAAAGTTAAAATAAATTTTAAGAACCCCTTTCACTAAATTTGAATCGTAAATTAATATTTTAATTATATAGTATAGTATCGGGTACCATCTTCATCATCACTTTTCATCAAACGAAGGCGAAGACTACTGTCTATAGCAATGATAAAAAATATGCTAGAGCGCTTCGTCATCACCAACAGCCCTCACTAGTACACTGCTGAACATAGACCTCTCCTTAGATAAGAGGTTTTGCCGGGTTGGTATAGGGCATTAAGTTTTCGGTGGTGGCGGCGGCTCTGACCGCTCAGAATAGGGCACGCCCCTGGCGCCCTCAGAGGATATTGGCGGTTAGAGCCATACGCGGTTACCGCACCGTTTCGACGGAAGCGGCGTGCGCGTTGGCCGGTACTCCCCCGTGGGACTTGAAGGCGGAAGTGCACTCCGAAGTATATCGGCGGACGGCTGGTTTCCAGGCGGATAGTGGCAGTCGGCCCCCGCCCGAAGAGATAAGCGAGTGGCGTGAGGCCGCTCGCCGAGCCACGATGGCGCGTTGGTCGTCCCGGCTGGAGGCTCCACGTGCTGGCTTTGCCGCCGTGGAGGCGCTCCAGCCGGTCATCGTCGAGTGGGCAGGGCGGCAGCACGGGACCCTCTCCTTCCGGCTGACGCAGGTCCTTAACGGGCTTTGCTGCTTCGAGAAGTACCTGCACTCGGTCGCTAGGAGGGAATTGAGTCCCGCCTGTCACCACTGCGATTGCAGTGGGGACTCGGCTCAGCACACCCTGACAATTTGCCCGGCTTGGGCGCCGCAGCGCCGGGTCCGGGGGGATCTCTCGCTACCGGCCGTCATACGCTCCATGGCCGGTAGCGACAGATGTTTTACCGCGGTCGCATCCTTCTGCGAGATGACGTCTTCGCGAGGCGAGGCGGCGGAGGGGGCCCGGGAGGACAGCCTCCACTCGGACCCAATCCGTCGCCGGCGAACCGGGCGGCGGAAGCGCGCTTATCACCGCCTCATGCCGCCCTGAGTGTGGCCGCGGGTGGACGGGACGGGTTTTCCCCTCCACCTGCCATAACGGCCAGCCGCGAGGAGGCGACGTCCGCGTGTGCCGAACGTCGCCTAAATAGAGAATGTACCAGAAGGTGGTGCCCGCACCGTTGCGGGCAGGCGCTAGGAGGTATCCGGAGGTCCTAATAACAGCGGTTCCCGGATCCCTCCTATTACAGGCAGAGTGGCACACCGTGTGGTTTTAGTCCGTCCGATTCCGAAACACCACCCCGCCGTAAACCCCGGTGGGGTGGCGGCTCGAGGGGGTTTCCACACGTTAAAAAAAAAAGGGGTTTAAGTTTTCCTTCTCCTGTTGTACTGCGTAGTTTGCTTCCTTAGTCGGCTCCTACGACACCCACGTGATGAATAAGGATGGTGACACTGTGTATTTTTAATCGTTCACCACACGGCCGCTTATTTATGTTAAATGCGGTAGGGACATTGTTTTTGTAAAAGGAATACTTAAATATTTACTTATCACTTACTTATATAAAATACACACACCCACATACACACAGAATTAGGTATGTTTTTTCTATACATCTTGTATAGAAATAAAAACAAAGAATAATGTAATATCTACTAAAAAGACTGGCAATTGATCTCTACTTTTATTAACTGTAAAGGTATTCTAAAATCTAAAAGTAAGTTCCATAAAACACAACAGTTTTTAAACTATAAAAAAACACATTGTGTATAATTATACAAAAATACCGTTTTTACATGTTCCATTAAAGCTGTTATATATCATATACTAACTAAAAAATACAGTTAGATAGACATTACAACATAGGAACATAATATAAACTGCAACTCATCACCGCATCGATGGTCATAAGACTATACGACCGAGAAAAGCTGGCTCGAATGATGCAGTCGTGCAGTCCACTAACCGTCTTACGCAAGTCTTATGTAACAACCAGAACCGGAGATCGCGACCGACCACTGTCTGTGGCAAATGACCGGTGTCCGCACGTTACTGGGTCAAATGTATCCAACGATTGACGTGACATTTTGTAAGACACAAATTGATGTCCTTTTTTGAATGTTTCCTTTTTAAAGTTATCATTGCAAATGTCAGATAAACTGTAGGTGACATGTTTTGGGTAGAGATTACAGGTTGAGTTTTTTTTTGTTTACTTATACCCAAATGAGATAATAAATAAAATAGTCTTAGTGAGGGTCTAGAAAATTTTATTATTTATTGGAAATTTTGAAGATAAAAATCAGGTCAGGTAAGAACATCAAACCTGTGCGTACCTTCTGTAAAAGTTAGTTATTGTAGATTCATAAATGTTTGAATAAAGGTTTAATAAATTTTACTTATATGTATACACGCATGTTCACACTTCAATAAATATTCGTGCGCATTCAAATATTAAAATACCCTTACTGTACACACACACATATACATTATGAATGTTTGTGTTTCATTATGAACCTAAATATTCCCCGAAATTTAATTATACATTTTCAATGGCAACTAAACAGCGCCTAAAACTCTTCAGTGTAAGCAATTATCATATGATTACACTGCTAAAAGGTACATGGAAGCGGGTCAAGGTAGTAAAACTAATAGAGAGTTTCCAGCATAAAGTGAATTGGTGAACAATGAACAACGGGACGCGCCTTCACAATCATATACAAGGTCAAATGTAGTGAATATACAGACGTGCCTACTGACTGAATAAATATCAGAGATAAATTTGTAGTTATATATGTATTTCACTTTAATTCAACTTCTGTCAATAACAATATTGAAAGAGAAAATTTTACGAAGAAGAAATTAAAATGAGTCTTGGAAAGAAAAACAAATTTGTAAGTACTTGCATCATGCAATGTAAACGGAATTGCAACTGAGCGGCATTTTATTTGGACATCAAATAATTGTGGTAATGTAACATGTATATGGTTCATAAAAACCTACTCAACACCGGCACATTACGCTATAAGCTGAAACAACACGCTAACAGTAAATTATCTTGCTTAGTCTGTAAAAAGTTATAATTGTATGCTATGTTCGCTTTTTTTACAAATATCATGGCTTAAATTTTCCGTCAGTATGTATTTTATATACGAGTACCTACATGTAATTCAATAGCTTTAAAACGACAACAAATTGCAATAAAGATTCTCGTCAATTTTAATACTGCGGTTATTACGAATTTGTTTATAATTCTACCTAACTGGTCTATTCGTTAGCATATAAGTGCACGGACTAGACCATTGTGGAACGCAAATGTCCATTAACCTGAATTAAACTCTATTGTTCGAAGCCCCTTTTCATTATATCTTAACTGCTCAGGCGCCTAGCAACCACCTGGTTGATTGATAATGTTCAATACAAATCGATATTCAATGCCGGTCCTAACTCAAAATACGCTTGTAAGCAACTCTGTTGTTGGTGTGAAAATTAATGCTTTGTTATATAATACGGCCCTAATATGAAAATTTATTTCCTTTACAGAGAAAATGTAGATAGAATATAGGTAGGTAACACCTACGTCTATAAAAGTACGATGTCCATTGACCAGGCGTCACCACTCGTGCCGATCAAACCTCAAGTAGCACTACAAAACGGAGCGTTCATTAAAAACAGTCACAACCGAAGCAGTTTCTGTGGTGTGGTTCCATCGTCGAACAGTAATGGAACGTTCAAAACTTTCGCTGTTAATCGTAAGAGTTGGAGTGGAAACGTGACTCTTCCACTTCAACAGTTCACGCCTGAGGCAGAACCAACTCCCCATCTGGCAACTTTCCGTTCCGGGACGGGAACGTTCCCGAGAAACAGGGAACGGAACAATAATGTAACGAATGGAATATTAACACCTAACGGGAATTCTGTTCAGACGTTCAGAGGAAATGAAGTGAGGAGGTGCGGAAGCTCAAATGGCAGACGTTATGCCGAGATTGGGAATTGGAATAAAAGGTGAGTACGTCAGTGTTGTTTTGTTTCTTGTTTGCGTTTCCTAAGGCCCTGAAAATATAATAAAGGAGAAGGAAGTATAATATAGGCTTTACAAAAGAAAAACACTAGGTAGGCATTACAGTAGTTTTTGAACTCTGCAATTTTGCGGGCTTCCTTATGAGTAAAATAGTATTTCTTTTCCTTTAGAATCAATATACAGGTATTTTTTTCATTTTATTCTTATGTTTAACAGAAAACAACTATGAATATTACTAAGTTACAGATAAAACACAATTTCTCAGGTAAATAAAAACATCTAAAAGTACTGTGTTCCACTAACTTTTAGTAGGGCTTTATTTTTTCCTTTTTCATCTCGAGTAATTCTGTAACAAGTTTTCCAATTTCATTCTCTCGTCGCTTTCATTTCCTCCCATGTAGTAGCTTCTCCTTCCCTTAATATTACTTTTATTAGCTCAAAACGTTTAACAAACATTGGTTGACGAATCTAATAAAGATTAAGTTACGTTTGTACAAAGGGACGATCGGGCAATCTGATCCATAGTTAACTTTTTCTTTTTATTGGTTGATAACATTTTAAATCCTTTCATCTTTATTGTATGAAGGTAATTCATGTAAAAGTAAATCATCTATTGCATCAGTATTTTAAAATTGTTAGGTCCAATTTATGTATTTTATTTGTAATCTGTGTTATTATATAGTCTTTTTCTATTCTAAGCTAAGCTAATATTAAAAAAATAGTTAAGATAGAATAGATTATATCTTAACTATTTTTTTTAATATTAGCTTTGCCTTATACTTTACTTATTAAAGTCCCTCGTCTGAACTTTTAGAACCCTTCCAGTATTTCCATTATTGCAACGTTTAGGTAGATAAGAGCAATATGTCTTAATGTTTACCACATTTATCTAATCACGATCTTCATTATCTTTTATACGTAGGCTGTAGAAAGTTCGCCCATAATTCTCGTGCACTCAATTTAGGGCAGACTAAGCGCTTGATAAGAAACATCCAATAATCTGACCAGTACTTTGTCTTTTTATTGGGAGTTTACTTTATCGTGTCATGATTCCCCGTCAGTGGCGATGTTATCAACTTCGCTATTTAGCAGTTCTGCTTTCCATGTGTATTTATTACTACTCGTAGTGTTTACTTCGGTATCTCAATTGATCTGAATATTTGTTTTGGGAGAAATACATCATATTATTTTAATTCTGCTAAACACGTTTACTTTTGTTTGCTTATCGTCCTTTTTTGTTGGAGCCAGTCATGATTGTTGTTTTCTTTTCTTTAATGTTGGTGACCTAAACAAAGATTTTGCGTTGCTATTGAGATTATTGTTGGTCTCTTAAATTAAAAGCTTATTTATACTTTTAAACTAATCTTATTTTTCGTATTATGCGTTACGAGAGACTTCTGTATTGAATGATCCATTTGCGTACCATACTTATTCGATACAAAACTTTGAAGTTCTTCTTCTTACATTCAAGTGGAGCCCAACAATCTAAACTGCTGACGTGAGACACATGAAGAAAAAATTATGAAGTTAGTATTTATACTACGTCATAATTCGTAATATATTTATTAGGGTTTTTTAAGGAAACATCACGCCCAAACTAGTTCTGTTAGCTGGTTTTTGAGGAATAATGGTCACCCATCTTATCAAATATCCTTTTTTTTCTTGGTAACTCTATTACACAATTGTACACAGTAGATTTTCTTCTGGTGTTATGAGGAAACAAAAAAGTCGCAGCAACACCTACACTAATATCAACTTATGCCCATATGGAAGCTCTCAAAACGAACGAGTGCTTGTTAATCCGTTTATTATTTTGTTACGTAAGAGGAAAATGATACCATGTTCTTTCCCTCCCTTTCGCACTCGTGTCATTATCGAAGAATTGATATTGTGAGTCTGTCATTCCATTGTTATGTAGGCACATCAAAACAATAGCGCTCGCTAGAGTAGGTACGATTGGTTTTTGCCATTCCTTTTTTACAGCTCAGTTCTTTACGGTATACGACTATAATTCCATTCGTTTTTATTTGGGTGTAGATAGAGACAGAGGTCTACATCTAAATAAAAACAAATGACATTATCTCTTCAGTGGAATTACCTATTCCTATAGCATTGAGGAAACCTAAATTACTCTAAAGCGTTTAAAGAAGTGTTCGTTTTTATTAGAAAAAGTGTCTAGTAGGCTGACAGCCATTCCGAGGAACCCTCGAAGACGGTAATTTAGTCCAATTACGTACAGCACGACTTTCACTTGATGATCAGTGTTTGTACCTCGTATTGAATCTCCCCTGACGAATTGAAAAAACTTAGTCGGATAGCGTTTCTCTTATTTCCTTGGTCACATTTACGAGTGCCTGTTGTTGACGTTTGTAATCTATTCCAATTATGGCGTTTTGTCCTAGATTCCGTCTCGTATCGTAATGATAACTAAATGCAAAGATACAGGTTAATTTTCATCGCTCCTAGCGTATGTAACAAAACATACTAAATGTATTTACTGCGTGTTCGTGTAGTATTGTAATATACGATTTCAACCACGTGTCTATTTCGGTGAAATCAACAGGGGATCTTTGTCAATGTGTCAAGCGACTCAGGCAATGCATTATAAGGCAACCTTTATATACTTAAGTCTAAAACAGTCCATGCATTATAAATATATGAATACAAATCACATCAATCAAAAATATTTGCAAAAATTAAAAAACATACAAAAAAAAAATATAATACTTAAATTAAGTTTCACTAAATGCCAGTAGTCCTACTGCCATATTGAAATAGAGTAGTTGATAAAAGTTACTACTTTTTGTTTTTAAACTAATATGATAAAAATATTAAACTCTTATTAAGTTTGCAGTGCTAAGGTCACAGTCAAATAAACAAAAGTACTAACAAAGATGTCCACTTAATGATTATTAATGTAAATAGATTGCATAATTTCGTAACAGCCGTATGATGGATGAACGTCAAGCCGTCGAGCCTCCGAGCCTCGTGAAAACTGACAACCCGAGTAATTGAACACCGATTAAGTGAAAGCGCTGTTCAAGCTGTTACAGTGAGTGATTTTTATCGAATGTATACTTGTTAGGTTAAAATATTTCGTTGGCTAATCTACAAAAAGAATTTAATTTTAAAAATTTTAAATGCCAAGACGTATTATTCCAAGATAATATTTGGCAACGGTTCACGTGTTAGGATCGCGCAACAAACTACGACAAGTGCATCATCAGATGAATGCTGTCGTAATTTGCTATCTCAAAATATATGTATTCTTTTTGTCCCTGCTCGTATTTGCCGCTATAAAAAGTGCACATTTATGACAGAAACAGTCTTTAAACAAATGCAGTGCTATTCTACTACTACGAATAAAAATATGATTTCGGACATATACCCTTCTATTCATCTTTTACCTAATTTGTGTGTAATACAGTATTTAGTATGCTAATGTTATTTGATTTGAAAACGTTTTGTAAAAGTTTGTTGCCCTTTGCATGTTTATTTGTTAAACTATATTTTTATACTATACATAAATATTTCTGCATGTACTTATGTAAATGTAATGGATTTAGCGTTACGTACGTAAATACTAACAGTACATCATGTAGCGACATTTTATCTCATATATAATCTGTTTCAATTGTATGGATCTACGTCCACCTCTGCGGTAGATCAATAAAAAATAATCCATATTATGTTTTAGAAGTTAACTACAAGATTAAAAAAAAGAGTTCTGAGTGAGAGTGTGAGAGAGAGTGGTAGGTAATGACCTACCACTCTGTGGTGTTTATTGCAAGAATACAGTCAATAAACAGATTTGTGTAGAGAATATTGTAGTTGCGTCATTACTAAGCGACTACTTTATTGATTTCATCAACCATATATTACTGTATGCAACATTTATGTAATAGTGAATACTGTGTTAATTTTTATAGCGCATTCGATTAAAATTACGTCTTTAATTTTAAGCATGGGAGTTACACAGTCACATCACCGGTTATGCAAATAAAATAATTAAAAGACAAAAGTTTATTACAGCCGCTTACGATTTAACTGATCTTTAAAACCAATTTCTCTAATATAGGACACTACGAACTGTGATTTGCCTTTTTTCAATGTGATTCTGGAGTTAATATATTATATGTATATGGTAGAGGAAGTATGCGTGTGTGTTTAAATTAGGACTAGAGGTTTCCGTAAATCACAATATCATCATCATCATCATCATCCTATAGCAGTCCACTGCTGGACATAGGCCTCTCCCATTGATAAAAGATTTCAGATTTACAGATATTCCTTATGCCAATCACAATATGATATAAGGAATATCAGTAGAAATCTTTTACGTAATTTAGGTATGCGCTATGCCTCTGTTTCTAGCAGTGGACTATTATCCAATAGTCCATTAAATTCCCTATTATGACCTATTATATGATATGACTATTATGAACAGTTGATCGATTCCCGTCAGTTTTTTGTGAGTTAGTGCAATTTTCAAGTGCAAGTTCATTTTGACGACCGAATGGCGTAGTGGTTTGTGTAGCAGACTGCTATTCCAAAGGTCGCGGGTTCGATTCCCGCTCAAGTCAAGCATTTGTGTGCATGAACATTTAATGTTTGATTTGGTCTGGGTGTTTCTACATATAATAAGTATGTATTTAAAAAAAAAGAGTATATATGTATTTATATCAGTTGTCTAGTACCCATAGTACAAGCTCTGCTTAGTTTGGGACTAGATGGCGTTGTGTGAATGTTGGTACAATATTATTTATTATTTATTTATTTATTATTTTTGTTGGGTTATTGATATTATTATTGGGCTGTAATTTTTGGTAACGTAAGAAGAAATCTAATTAACTATAGAACTATTCTGTATGGCATAGTGAAACATAAATACGATATTAAGTAACATTCTTAATTATAATAATATCACGCTGATAAGTAGCACACTTAAAATTACAAACCGTTACCGTGTAATTATAAATAGTAACTAC